GACAGCGCAGGAAGGAGAGCCCATGCTGGAGATGAAAATGGTTGTAGATTTTGGGGTGAAACAGAGACCAACCCTGCCTATTCAACAATCACCATAACGTACCGTATATATAATGAGTTATTGAAAATAATTTTGTCAGGGTTTGAGAGTTCTGACAAAATTTCCTCTAGGGCAGTAGTCTCCAAACGTTTCAAACAAAGTGCCAGTATACTGTCCTTCAGACTTTAGGGAGGCCGGATTGTGGCCAGTGGAGTAGAATGTGGTAGAAAATGTCCTAGGCTCAGCATCAGTGAGAATAAGCATGGCCTCAGGGTTGGTGGACAGCAGGAGGAGGAGTAGCGCCCCAACATTGGTATTAGTGAAAGGACTAGTACACCATCATTAGCATCAGTTGAAGAAATAGTGTCCCATTGTTGTTGTCAGTGGGAGGAATAGTGCTTTATATCATTGTTACGAATAGTACCCTAAGGGCCAGATAAAGGCTAGCAAAGGGCCATATCGAGCCGCAGTATAGAGAACCCTGCTCTAGGGATTATATTTGACAAAATAATTAAAAGAGGTTGTTGCCAGTGGCACTCTTTCATGGCACTACATACAGTAAATATTTCTAAAACAACATTGCTCAGAGTTATATAATGCCTTTCAGAAAAGCATTAGGATGGTCATAGATGGGAGGATATTTGAAAGTATCTTGCCAAGAATGAACTGTGGGGAATAGTCTTCCTATCCATGATGAGTCTGCTGACCATTAGGATCCACTGCAAATCTCCCCCAACAGCAGAACAGAAAAACTGGGATTGCTTGCAAGGGTATTTTCCAACCGGTTAAAACATATTCTTTCAGATAATCAATGAAGGTACCTGTTAGATCATCAGAAATTGCAGTCAATGACAACATCGCTTGCAATTCTCAGGCTACTTACAAATACCCCTAGAGTACTGTATATGCACTGACAAGTGGCCTCAACGTCACGTTGCCATTGACTTGCACTTGTTCTTCCAGTGTGAAAGAAATAATTTTTAATTGAACTGCTACATCAAATTGGTCCTGCCCATCTAGATGCAACCCATGTGATCAATCTGTTAAAGTAAACCTATTATGAAACATAGGTTCCAATATTGCTGAACATTTCTGTATATTATTATTATTATTATTATACAGTATTTATAAAGCGCCAATAGTTCGCTCAGCGCTGTACATTACAAAGGGGGACAGAACATGTGACAGAACAATACCAATACAATGCAAAACATGAGGGGATCGAGGGCCCTGCTCTTTCGAGCTATATCCTAAATGTCTAGCTTTTTTCCTAACCCACTGGCTGTAATCCGTTATGACCCACTGACTCAAAACAAATAGTCTGATCAGGAAAGGTAAAAAAGGAAAAAAAAAAAATTAGAAGCACTTGTTTACATACAGGTTAATGGCTTTAACTACTCAACCAAGAGGGCCAGGTATGCAGCTGGGCTTCAAGCATTTTATTATGCGAGTTCAGCAATGGCTGGCCCTATGCTTCTCTCATGACAGGTGGGACAAATGGTCTCAGGGCACACAGGAAAGATTTTGGATGTTGCACTCTGTGTGTGGTGTTTTTGTGGATACAAGGCTACAAAAACAATTACAGCTAGAAAGTGGAGTTCTCTTTCATTGGGGCTGCTGAGTATGGCCAGGAAAAGAGTAGGTGGGTTCCCTGGTCACCACATGGCTTTAAGTGTTGCACCTGGATATGGAGACATGGGTAACCAGTTACAAGGAAGGCTCCCTGCCTTCTGTTGCTGGAATCAGCAGTGGAAAAGTGGCTGAGGCAAAAATACTGGAAAAGCCAAGTTCTCCAATGGTATATTTGGACTGTTATATTGAGATTCTTGAAATCTTTCAAACTCTTTTGTGTTTTGCCACTATAAAGTCTTTTTAGATCGCACCTTCAGAGGCCGGTTGGTGGTATTCCTAAAGTCCTGTACACAATATCGTCTAGTGTCGGCCTGTTAGATAGAAACTGGCCGCCATTCGGATCGTGTGTACACCTGTCTGTCCGGACAAATGGATATGCTGGAAAACTGGCATCCGATCAGTGCTGGCAGCAAATGGCTGCAAACACTGACCAGTGTGCTCAGGTCTGTCCTCCTGTCAGAACACAATAGCTCAGCGGGGTGATTGCTGTATTAACATCAGATAGTACAGCAAGCTCCTCCCAAGCTCTTCAGTTTTTTTTGTTCAGACCGCTGGGTTGAATGAAAAAAAAACAAAAAAACAAAAACGTACCCAGCATAACCCAATTTTGCTGGTTTCATGTATGGCCCTTAAAATAACTGACTTTTTATCTTGAATCCTGTCTAAAGCAAAGGCTCATTAAAATACTCATCTAAGTAAAACATTTTGTTAGCATCAGTTTACAGTTACAGCCACAAACATAATATTTATAAACTAAAATAAATAAGTATTTGACCCATGTATGCAACAGCAAGCAGTTTTTTTTTTTTTTTATTACCTTGGTGCGTGATTCTATTTCTTACATAATTCTCTGGAATTGCTGCAATAGGAACAGCTGTGGAAAAAGACAACACCCAAAAAAAAAAAAAATAACTGACACAGCAAAATTATGTTAACTTTATCTAATGACTTCAACCACATTATATAAGATCCCAGTGAATCTGTTCAAATCCCAAACTTCACTTAACTGGAGCCAGACGCAGTGTGGGTGGTCCAAATGGCTGATTTCACGTGATTTCTTACCAGATGTTATGAAAGATTACAATTTTTATTTGTTGTTATGTTTCTATCTTACCTTCGAATGTGATCATTTTGTCTCTGAATTTGAAGATTTAACATGCTGGCACTGCCATTTAAGTCATGTAGCTTTGAAAAAAAATCTAAATTTTGTGAATATTGTGGAACTATTTGCCTTTCAGTGACTATGACTGTATTTTTTTTTTTTTTTTAAGTAATGAGAAGTGTGAATGAAAAAGGAGCAGAAGAATGACATGTTACATTAACAAATCAGAAAGAATCACTAGAATTGTCAACACTGATACTTTTCTGTTTCTATCAACAGTTTATGTCATGTTTAAAAAGCATAACAGGCAAGCAATACGTCATAATATAATCATGTATCACTGACAAGAGATGCAAGAATCTTTAAAGTGGAACTTCACTCAAAAGGAGAAATTTTGCTTTTCCTCCTCCCCCACTCTTCTCCCATATTTGGAATTTTTTTTGGGAGGGGGGGGGGAGGAGGTACCTGATTTTGATATGGACCCATTCCCACGTCCGGTGGGAGCCCATCCCTTCTTCCCCACAGCTTCTTGGGACACATCACAGGGCCCAGGAGACTGCAGGACCATTCACAGGGCGCAGCACAGCCCACACATGCACAGTGGCCAGCCAGCTGTGAGCTGCAGGAAGACACAGTCAGCTGCCCACAGTTAAGATGCCGGCGCCTGGACCTAAAGACCGGAAAAGAGCTAGGTCAGGTGAGGACATTGCCGGATCCAGGGAAAGGTAAAGCCTCATGTACACATGAATGCCCCTAGATGTTTAGTTCTCCGGGCAGCAGAAAAACGCTAAATGAAGCAAAAACGTGTGTAAACCCGGTACCATGTTTAGCTGCGTTTAGCGCTTAGATGTTTATTCATTTGATTGTCCACAGTATTTTTAATTGACATGAATAAACGCCCAAGCACTAAATGCAGCTAGTGTTTAGATGTGTTTAAACGTGTTTAGACGCATTTACAAGTGTCTTTGCTGCATTTAGCCTTTTTTGGCCAAAACATTCCTCTCCTGCCCTTTGACAACATGCTCGTCCGCACGAAACGCGTCAAAGGGGAGCCTAGCCGGTGACGTCACGCCGCCCGTACCGCGTGGAGGCTGGCGGCCATCTTTGTTTCTTGGCTACCTTTATGTGAGTGTGTGTTTTCATATTTGCTTCAATAAAAATCATTCAAACATACTACACTATCATAGTTTTTTTGGAGCTGGCTGCACTACTGAGCCCCCCTTTCAAGGGTGGATGTCTGTTTTGGGCGTCCTGCTTTGATGAGTCCCTCATTAGCTATATGACACCTATTACTGGATGCTTGATGACCCCCTGTTGGCTAGAGGAAGGAACACCTTTACCAAAGTGACAGCCTGCCAGATGATCACCTTTACCAGAGTGACAGCCTGCCAGTCCTATAGTACCAGGAGTGGTCTGACAACTCAAATGCACAGCTTATGCGCTTTCTGGTGAGTGCATATTATATATCCACTTAAGAGCATGGAGTCTACAGCATTTGCACCTACCATTGGGACTATCATGCGTCACTAGAGGACGATAATTTTTAGTCACTTTAACCACTTGCCTACCAGGCACTTATACCCCCTTATTTACCAGGCCAATTTTCAGCTTTCAGCGCTGCCGCAATTAAATTGACAATTGCGCGGTCATGCAACATTGTACCCATATGAAATTTTGATAATTTTTTTCTAACAAATAGAGCTTTCTTTTGGTGGTATTTAATCGCCACTGGGCGCTTTACTTTTTGCGCTATAAATAAAAAATTGCAAAAAATTTGAAAAAAAAAAAGTTTCTTTGTTTCTATTAGAAAATTTTTCAAACAGGTAATTTTTCTCCTTCACTGATGTGCGTTGATGAGGCAGCACTGATGGGCACTGATAGGCAGCACTGGTGGGCACTGATAGGCAGCACTAAAGGGCACTGATAGGCAGTACTAATGAGGTGGCACGGATAGGCGGCACTGATAGACAGCACTAATGAGGTGTCACGGATAGGCGGCACTAACATGCAGCACTGATAGGCGGCACTGATAGGTGACACTGATGATGGGTACTGATAGACGGCACTGACTGGCATCACTGCTGGGCACTGACTGGCGGCACTGACTGGCACAACCGCTGGGCACTGACTGGTGGCACTGACTGGCAGCACTGCTGGGCTGCACTGGTGGGTGGAACTGGTGGGCAGCACTGGTGGGTGGCACTGGTGGGTGGGCACAGGTGGGTGGCACTGGTGGGCACAGGTGGGTGGGCACAGGTGGGTGGCACTGCTGGGCACAGGTAGGTGGCACTTCTGGGCACAGGTGTGTGACACTGCAGAGTGGCACAGGTGGGTGCACTGCTGGGCACAGGTGGGTGCACTGCTGGGCACAGGTGGGTGATCTGCTGGGCACAGGTGGGCGGAGCTAGTGAGCGCACTGCTGGGCACAGGTGGGCAGAAATTGCGGGTGGCACTGCTGGGCACCGATCATCAGGGCACTGATCATCAGTGCCCTGATGATCGGTGCCGATCCCCGCTCTGACAACTGCCGGTTCTCGGCAGTACTTTCCTCACGATCTGACAGCGTCAGGAAAGTGCAGCCGAGAACCGGCACTTGCATTTCCCTGTGATCAGCGTGTCATTGGACACCGCTGATCACGTGGTAAAAGGCTGCTGTGATTGGCCTTTTACCACATCACGTGATCAGCTGTGTCCGTAGGACACAGCAATCACGGAGATCGCCGGGTGTGCGCGCCCCCTGGGGCGCGCAGGAGAGCGCGTTCTGGGAGGACGTCATATGACGTCCACTCAGAACTGGCCAGCCGCAGTGCAGCCGTCATTCGGCTATCTGCGGTCGGCAGCTAGTTAAGCACTTTATTCATCACCCATTATTACTTTTATCTATTATTTATTGGTGTTTCCACTATGTGTTTATGATCCATTGTTTCTATTCTAGCACTGCATATTTTATTATTACAGAGGAATCACGTTCAGCAGAGGAACGTTTAACTGCCCCTAAACTCTGCTAAAAGCCTATGTGTACATGGACACATAGATATTTATTGAGATGAGTTCAGGGGCTTTGGCAAAAAAAATGCCAAAAGCTCTTAAACTCACGTTTAGAAGCAGCAGTGTACATGAGGCCTAAGTGTGTGTGTTTTTAAAAGTTATTACAGTATTTGCAGCTGTTGGCTTTTACATTTTTGTTTACTGGGCGAAGATCCTCTTTAAGGCATCATGCACACTGGCAGAAGCAAAGCAGCTTCAAAAACATGCCCAAGTCGCAGGTTCAGGAGCGTTTAGGAGCATCAAGTGCTTAAGCATTTATTTATTTAATTTACCAGAATATTAGGTTATTCTTGCCATTGGAATGAACAAATTATCAAGTGCTGAACGTGCCTAGCGCTTAGGCATGTTTAGGTACATTACGTGCATTTACCCACGTTTAGGCGGTTTTGGCATTTTTCGGCTAAAATGCTCCTCTCTTGAATGCACAAGTAATTTCTTTTTCTGCCTCTCCCCTAATACTAAACTCCTGTAAATGTCTATGTGTGCATGAACACATAGGCTAACATGGTGGGTCATTTAGATGAAGAAAAAAAAAAAAGGTCAAATGCCTGTAAAACAGGAGCTTTTGAGCTGAAGCGTGAACAAGGCCTACAAATTAATTTCAGTTATTTTCTTCTTCTCTTTATAATGAAAAAAGGGATTCCCTAAACAATAGTAGCCCAGCAATCAAGGCTAACATGGCGGGTCGTTTAGATGCAGAAAAAAAAAACACGTCAAATGCCTGTAAAACAGGAGATTTTGAGCTGAAGCGTGAACAAGGCCAAAAAATTAATTTCAGTATTTTTCTTCTCTTTATAATGAAAAAAGAGATTCCCTAAACAATAACAGCCCAGCAATCAAGCTAGAAAGCACAGATGGCTGGAGACCTGTGTCCCTATGCCTTTTGGAACTTGGGAATGAGTTAAAACTGGCTTTAAAAAAAAGACTACACACTCAAAACAGCAGTACTAATAGACATCAAAATATTTCACACCACCCAGTTCCCAAATAGTGGTACAAGCGACTGAATGGCAATATTTTAATGATATTAATAGTCTTACATATTTAGGGAGGAAACCTGGCATGAAGCAAGACCACCACTTGAATTATTATATCACAAGGAGTTGGATAATGAAGGCAGTAGATTGTGCATTGTGGGATTTGTTTAGCTTGGAAGTTATAGATTCCTTAAAATTAGGTCTACCTGTGTGGAATTACCTGCCGGTTTAAAGGGTAAGTCCCCGGTCCCACGGTCTCACCGTGGCCTACATTATTATTATTATACAGTATTTATAAAGCGCCAATAGTTCGCTCAGCGCTGTACCTACATTTCGCAAGTTCACGTGTGACTTGCATAGACATCTGTGCATGAAGTCCCACAGATCATTCCAAGTCGCACCTGAAATCGCGCTGACATCCGACTTTGAAATCATGCAAATTCACAGGATTGTGAAGTGAAGTCACACCATTTCAAAGTGTGACTAAGACTAAGCCGCAAACTACCAACTTGTTTAGTGTGAATATCAGCTTGTAGTAACTCTCATGGAGCAATACACGAGATCAGTTTTTCAAATTAGAATGTTCTTCACCTACTACAATGATACCCAGGGCTGGATTTAAACTTCCTGCCACCCTAGGACAACTGTCTTGTGCTGACCCCCCACCAGGGGCGGACTGACACCTCATTGGGCCTCCTGGCAATAGGGGATCATAGGGCCCCTGTGTCAAAAAAGCATATGAAAAAGGTACCAGGGGCATCATATGGGGCCCCCTACTGACCCTGGGCCCTCGGGCACTGCCCGAGTTTCCAAATGGTCAGTCCGCCCCTGCCCCCCACTACCCTAGTCAACTGGACACTGGGACACCTAAAATTCACAACTAGCAAAGTAGGGAAAACAGTCATCCTTTTTTGCTAGCAGTTCCATTCTAGTTTATACAGTCAGGGTTGGTGAACTTTAAGGCCTCGGTTAGACTGGCGCTGATGCCTAGATGTCTCTAGCTGGCAGGTGCTGCATGCAGGTAGCCTATTCATACCTATGAAGCTGCTTGGCTGTCATATTCGGATAAGCCTCTGTCTTAATGAAATTGTTGCATCCTCATAGGCTTAAAATGGGCTGCCTGCATGCAGTACTTGCTGCCTAAGGATGCTAAAATTCACCGTGTATAAGTATCAATTCCTGTGAACAAGGTCTGAGCGCTCAAAAAATAAAAACTTTTCAGGGACGGCAACAATAAGGACCAATACAGGCAGGACAGCACTATAGAATCTTTTATTCAAGATGAACTTCGGGGAAAGGAAAAATACTCTTGTGCAGTGTGGCTGTCTCTGCACTACAAGGGTTAAATGCACATTTACATCTAAATCTAGAGGACAGGAAAAGCACTTTTACTTACCTGAACCTCCGTTCCCTTGTCTTGTAAGACCAGTCCTTGCTGTCTCTTCTCCTCTATGATGTGATAGTTGGATGCCTCTGACCTCATCAAGACCCATGCCTGGCCCATAGCCCTGCATTGGATGTGAGGATTCCAAGGAACAGCTCACCACTAGAATGCTGGGAATGCCATCTGCTGGGGGAGACGATGATCAGGTAAGTAAATTTGCTTTTCCTGTCCCCTTGACCTAAAGAAGCATTTAACCCTTGCAGGGTGGAGGCAGCCCCACTGCAAAGGAATATTTCTACTTTTCCTGGAGTTGGGCTTAAAGTGGTTCTAAACTCTTACATATGCCCAGTGAAGTGACAGCCCTTCAATATGCAGACGTTATAAAGCTTGACTGAGACTTTGGAAAGCAGGGGGTGGAGAGCTGAAATTACACATTTGCAGAGCTCAGTGAGGAGAGCTCTGAGAGCTGATTGGAGGGAAGAGACCCCACCCCCTCCACACAGGAACAGAGCTGAGGCTATCAGTCACAGACTGTATGTTGGAGCTCCCTCCACTGTCACCATTTTTCTCTTGATGTCAGGAAAATTGTCCTGAAGTGACTTATACAGATAGCAGAGGAACAGGGCAGCAGACAGCAATGACACTTAGTTCTCTTAGATGAGACAAGTACAAACTATAGAGGGATATGCTTTGTTCATATTTCATGTCAGAGGTTTACAACCACTTTAAAACATAGGAATGTATTATCTGACTTAAAGTGGATCTAATGCAGGCCATAGACGGGTCGAAAACCGACCGTTTTAAAAAAAAAATAAATGAAAAATCGGTCGTTCAATAGGCCAACGTTACCACCAACGGTAAAAAAAATCAGCCGATTTTCGTCCCGTCTACGGACGGCATTTAATTACTTCTGTCCCTGCAGAGAGCTCCGCTATTATATTTGACATTAAAAAGTATAGCGGTTGCAACATTGTATCTATTTGTATCCATTTCGGATACAGATGTTTTTATTCAGATACAAATAAATACATTGTTGCAACCGCTATACTTTTGCATGTCAAATATAATAGCGGACTGGAATTCTACTTTTTCTTTTTCATTTTCTGCTTCTTCTTTTTTTTCTGCTTCTCCTTCTTCTTCTTCTTCTTCTTCTTTTTTCTTGCAGGTCATGGCTCATGCGCAGATTTTTTATCGGTAAAAAGATCGGCCGATTTGCCCATCATTGCCGCAAAAATCAGCCGATTGGCAAAATTGGCCGATTTTTTTTCCAACTTTACCGATAAAGAAAATGTGCCAAAATCCAATTAACCCATTAATGGTGTGAATATCGCCCGATTTTTTTTTTCAGCCGAAAAATCAGCCGATTTTCGACCCATCTATGGCCTGCATAAACCCTAATTTTTATTAAGAAGAGACCTGGAAGAAGATGGCAGTTGCCAGAGAAAGATTTAAATGCCACATTTACAGTATTTCTAGGGGATTAGTCCCACTGTATTGATTTTATTGAAATATTACTTTTATAACAGAAACTGTGGCCCTGGTTTGGACACATTTACCATTTAATACATTTCTTTTTCCCCTTTTCACAAGTTGATGTAAGGTTACTAGGTGCCAAACTTGCAGCAAATACAGATGATGCAATTCACACTCTATAAAAAAAGAGTAATACCCTTCATAAATAAAAAGTACAACAAACAGTGTTAATGACCAGCTAGATGTTCCTTTTCCAACACTGGGTTTTATATTCATTACTTTAGAAACTCAAAATATTGCTGTATATTCAGTGTTCCTATCCTGTGTACTTCTTACAATATTTGTGTTAGAATACCAGTGTACCTATTCATTTTCACACCTAGAAATAATCTCTGTATGCATGCCTCTGTCAGAGGAAGAGAGATCACATTGCCTTTTTAGATGCCATAACATTCCATGGACCCGAAACATGACTTGCCTTTTCTAAATAAATGCTTCATAAAACTCTACACTGGTTCTTAACTTCTAGTATAAATAGCCGGAAAAAAAAACACAAGGGGACCACTTCAATGTATTGGATTTGTTACCATATGACATCCTCCCAGAACTGGCCGGCCGCAGTGTAGCCGTCATTCAGCTATCTGCGGTCGGCAAGTAGTTAAGTGAATATAGTGAACAGATAATATCAATGTGATATGAACTTGATAAAATACACAA